CTCCTGAATGGCATCCTGTTATAAGCTGCAGCACCTTTACGTATGAGGAAACTGATATGAGTCAGGAAATTGTTCAGTGCTATACAGCATCACTCAGCAGTGTGTCATGTCAGTATCATTTAGCATGCCATATGAACACATCCCACTTCCCATATGCTGAAAGCCATTTTGAGAACTTACCGTAGAGCCGATGTAATTGGAAGCTTTGCGCTGTGAAACTGAAGGCAGCCATTCCGAGAAGCCGTAACAGAAAGATGTCATCATCATCAGTGATCTCATGGTAGAAAATGTATTGCGTCATTTGTTCTGAATCGGTGGCATTAAAGCGTTTGTTCACGAGGATATCTCACTAAACTGATTTCAGAAAGGCTTCTAATGCAGCGTAATGGTAAAATAATCAATATAATACAAAATATATTGTTGTATATTCCTATTGCTAGAAATTAAAGGGGTCATGACATGGGTTTTTTGGTTTGTTTTATTACGTTCCCTTAGGTGCAATTATAATATTACTATAGTTTTTTGGACGAAAAACTTAAAAAATTTAGTGATTTATGACCTTTTTCCACCCTGTTTCTCATCCTCTGACTCCAACAGTCAGTTTTGGGCGGTTTTCCCCTTTAAGAGTTCAGTGTAACTGCCTACTGTTATGATTGGCTAACGTCTTTTAACACGGGGCCTGAGCATGACGGACTCTGAAAACAATATGCAAGTAAACTAAGTAAAAACACTTGTGATTATTCATTATGAATTAAACTGCAATTAACATTTTAAAAAGTAGTTTTTACATGAAATACATTACTTACAGTTTCCGGAGTCGTTGTTGTGTCCAGAATAGTCGGCACGGCTTGATCTTTGAGCAAAAGTGTTCTGGTAAAGCCAGCATCATACTGCGATTTGTTCTCAAAACAGTCATCCGTGAAATGTAGTGAACATACGCATAAATTAACACTGACGTGACTGGGACGTTCGCAAAAAATAAACTGAATCCATTTTTCCCTGACGTCTGGATCCTTCGGCAGCATATTCAAACATGTTGTTTTTCCACAGCCAGGAACGGCACATCTGCGTGGCATTGCAATCTTATTGTAAACAGCTACTTCTTCAGACCCACTCGCTACACGTCGACTGAACACCTGTGGGCGTGACAACGATGCGATGATGCAAAATTAGGCGTAGTTGTCTTGCGCTGGAGGCGGTCATATTTTATATGAAAGTGCTCAATAAATAAATAAAAGAAAGAAAGAAAAGAAGATATGCAAACGACTGGTGCTAGGTGACGTCACCTTGCCCCATAGGATCCACAACGAGCCATATTTGGAACTTGATTAAATAAATGCTTCGTTTATAATGGGGAGGACGTCTTAAGCTATGAAACTTGCAGGACGTTTTAATGGTACAAAGACTTCTTATATGCCAGAAGATAAAGGCAAATTTGGTTTCTCATATCATCACCCCTTTAAATCAAAAGTTGTTCAAAAACATACATTTACACACAAAATTACTAATAACCTAAACTTTCAGGCACCATTTTATTTTTTAATTCATTTATCAAACGCAAGGGAAAGTGGGATATCATAGGCAGCTAAGGATATATCTGTAGTGCCTTCAAAAATTGATTGGACGAAGGTATCTCATTAGACAGGATATGACACAATCATAGGGTTTGGATGTGCTAGGGCTGGACAATATTTCGATATCAATATATATCGCGTTAGAATTTTTTTCAATAACGGTGATATGATTTTTAAACCCATTTCCGATATTTCGATATACATTAGCATTTGTCACTGAATGACGTTCAAGGCGCAGCCGTCAGAAAGAGCAGAACAGAATTAGGTACTTGCGGGATGACGTACATCACAGACACACAGCCAGCGCTCAGCAGTAGTTGGTTAAGCTCCGGCGCGGCAAGTTTTAGCTACAAGATGAGTACCCCCGACTGCAATACAGATGTGACTGAACGAGCTTCCACAAGTAGGGAGAAAGCAGACGAAATAGTTGATAAGAGAGGAAAGACTAATTCAGTGGTGTGGAAGTGGTTCGGCTTTTTAAGATCGGATAAACTTCAGGTTTCGGTGCTCTGCAAAATGTGCCGGAGAGTGGTGCCGACTAGCAGCGGGAACACGTCAAATCTGTTTCACCATTTGAAGCAGTTCCACCCGACAGAACATTCTGAGAGTCAGAAGATGAGGCACCATAAAAGTTTAAGCCAACCTATCCCCGAGCCATCACCATCACCCCCCCCCTCCCCAACACCAGCTATGTCAAAAGAGAAGTCCATGCAGCAAACACAGATGGCTGCATTCATGCCTTATGACAAACAGTCTAAATGTCATAAAGACATAAGGCTGTTACAAGCTTCTTGGCTAAGGACATGATGCCATTTAGTACAGTGGAAAACGTGGGCTTCAGGAAAATGATGTGAGTCATTGACCCCAGATACGAGCTCCCTGGTCGAAAATATTTTTCACGCACAGCTATACCTTTACTTTATGGTGAAGTCAGGGACAGGGTGGAGGAGCAACTGAAGTCAGTGTCATATTTTGCGACCACAGCTGACCTCTGGTCTAGTCGAACCTCGGAACCATATTTGAGCCTGACAGTCCACTTTATTGACAAAGATTGGAATCTTGTCAGCTTATGCCTCCAGACGGTCTACTTTCCGGAGGATCACACGGGCGAAGCAATTGCAGCCGGACTTGCAGATGCGCTCGCCTCCTGGGGACTCAGCGAGGACCGCCAGGTCTGCATCACCACAGATAGCGGGACCAATATCATCAAAGCCGCTGAGTTGAACGGATGGACAAGACTACAATGCTTCGGGCACCGACTGAACTCTGTCATTGGTAAGTTATACACAGTTTAAATGCTCGCCACAGTATCAACACTGACCGCCACAAATAGATTTTCAAAAAGGCTTTGACTTCGTTAAATAAACATGAGAACTGTATGTTTCACAGTCAAAACGCAGCGCGGGGTTTTTTTTTTATATGAATGTGTCTGAAGGAAACCGACTGTCTTCAGAAAAGTTTCTATGTCATTTTCATTTAATCTTTCCTATAATGCCTTATAAAGTAGTTCATGACCACTGTGCCTCCTGCTGGCAGAGGATTAATAATTAGTTGACCTAGTGGCATAGTTTTTATTAGGTGATTTCTTTCCTGTTCCTGCCAGAGCAATATGTTTTTGTTGTTGCTCACTCGTTTTTTAATTTAATTTAATTTTTATTTGCTCACTACTTTATCCAGGCTGAAGCAGTTTGTTGGTTGTTTCAATCTATAAGAATAATCCGCCTGTTATAGTTTAAATGAAAAGATATTATTGTTAATAAGGTGAGTCTGAGAGTTTTATTTATTTGATAGTTTGTTTATTTCACATTTCTTGTTTGTGAAGGCTAAATACAAATAAAAAGTGAACATTAATTTATTTGTACCGTTTTTATTTCAAAAATGTTATATAGTTTTATAGGAGGAGGTATTATATACTTGGCAAATTCATTTTTCAGACGTTTGTAGGTACAGACATCCATTGTGGCTTTTTTAAAATATTCATATCGATATCGGAATTATATCGTATCGACCGAAATTTAGAAATATATCGTGATATAAATTTTGGCCATATCGTCCAGCCCTAGGATGTGCCTTGTTTCTTTCCTACTGCCGTTGTGAAGGCAGAATTTTTCAGCTCTTGGACACAGCCATAGTCTGAAGTAGTGTTGTCAAAAGTACCAGTACTTCAGTCAGTCAGTACTTAAATTTTAAAACCATAACCATACCGGCCTTTCTGGAGTCCCGGTAGTACAGAGTACGGGGTCGATGCAGTACCTGCTGATAGGCAGCTGCTTTCAAATGCTCCTGTATTTGAGCACTCTGTGAAGAGCGTCAAAGTTTTCTATTTACAACGTGGTTTTGCAGCGTCTTTTTTGTAGCCAATCAGAGACATGTTTGTTGAGAGTGTGAATGCAGAGGCCAATCTGAAGCTTGTAAATCAGAATCTGCTCAGTATGTCAGTTTGTTCAGCGTGAGCTCTACTCACTTGCAAATTGTTTCGCTATAAACAACAAAAGTATAAACAAGATGTAAATAAGGGATTCATTGTGCAGTATGGACAGATTTTTTTTATTACAACTGGAGTTTTCTCTCAGTCAGTGAGCTTGTGCTGCAGCTAAACTGAAGTGATATCAATTTAATTGATTATAATTGGAGCGCTGTTTGCTTAGTTTCTGTAAACTATAATTTGAATAAAAGTTTTATTTTTCAGTTTTGGGAGGAGGACTGTATTAAAGTACAGGACTGAATCTGAAATTGCAGTGTATCACTACGATAACCAACCAAACAAACAGGACAAAAAAATCTGATGTGTTAAAATAGATCTGTGCATCAAGTATTGCAGTGTTAGTGCAATAGACCTGCCACTTGTTCTGTTACTTGTAATGTGTTTCTTTGTTATTTTATTACTTTCATTTGATCTTTTAATGCAATGTTTACATAATTGAACAATATTTGAAGGCTACATACAGTACAATTGTTTTAATGTATTATGTACTAATTATTAAGAGCATTAATAATTTTAACTAATTTTATTTAATATTTATTTTTTCAAATAGGTAAATAAAATATAAATGCAATATTTATATTTAATTTATAGTAAATAAAATATAAAATTTAAATAATTAGAATAGGCTAGGTATGGTACAGAGCACATAGGAATTTTACTATGTAGTCGGGTACCGACTACTGCAATTTTGGGACTGTGACAACACTAGTCTGAAGCTAAAAAATTTAAGTCTACACATCATACACTACACAATTTTCTGTGTATATCTACAGTCTGGATCTGACTTTCAACAACAACTGTTGACTTGTGCAGACTGCAAATCAGGCCAAAAATCTGGGCAAAATTTGTGTAGTGTATTCCAGCCTTTAGTGTCAGTGCTGGAATTTCTTAAACAGATCCCAAAGTATAAATGTCTGATTGAATTGTTAATCTCTTTACAGGTGCACTTGACAATCTGACCTAGATCTGGAACAACACAACTTTCAGCAATTACCCCTGTTGATGTGTCGCTGTGGTTGAGTTTTTGATTCTCTTGGAGGAGGTAGAGCAGAGATTCCTTGTTTCTGTGTGGCTGAATCCTGCGGAGTAACTGTGACAGCGTTGGCTGGGGCGCACGTGGCGCCACTATGAACGTCACCTCTCTCTTCTCCTTCACCAGCCCGGCGGTCAAGCGACTGCTGGGCTGGAAGCAAGGCGATGAAGAAGAGAAGTGGGCAGAGAAGGCGGTGGATGCTCTGGTCAAGAAGCTGAAGAAGAAGAAGGGTGCTATGGAGGAGCTGGAGAGGGCACTCAGCTGCCCCGGTCAGCCAAGCAACTGTGTCACTATCCCCCGCTCGCTGGACGGAAGGCTCCAGGTGTCACACCGGAAAGGGCTGCCTCACGTCATCTACTGCCGCGTATGGCGTTGGCCTGACCTGCAGTCACACCATGAGCTCAATGCCCTGGAGTGTTGTGAGTTCCCCTTTGGATCTAAGCAGAAAGATGTGTGCATCAATCCCTACCACTACAAGAGGGTGGACAGTCCAGGTGAGTGACTAAATATATCTGAGCCAGTTCATGAGCACTATGTAATAGAAGCTGATTGATTTAGTTGGACTAGTGGTTGGAATTGAATCATTTGAATCTGTTCATTCAGATTCATTTAGTGACTAGGGATGTAACGATTCACGCAACTCACGATTCGATTCACGATTTTGATTTCACGATTCAATTTTCTCACAACTTTTTTTAACAAAATGAGATTGAATACATTATACATTAAATGAAAAGGTGTCGTTTTATTAGACTATTGCTGCACGTTCCTTTGTGAAATTGAAATATAACAAAACTAAACTGAAATTTTAAAACAAACCCCCAAATCAAACAAGTAAGTTCCACAAATAAAATAAATCTCTTAATATGAACAAACTAAGGCTTTGTCTGCGCTCTTTCCATTTAAAATTAGAGCCAACCACTGGATTTAATCATGAGCCAAACAAAGATGCAGCATACATGCAGCATGAGTAGTTTTTAAACTAAATTAGACTGTATCATTTCGAAATTTGAAGCAAAAACAGAATGGTCTGACTTTAGTTTTGTGAAACTATACTACATAAAACATATCTGAACGAAAGAGCAGACGAGCTGAATGAGACGCAGATTCACTCTCTGACAGCAGGTGGC